TATTTATAAATCTATTATAGAATAAAACAAAACGAACTTTTGAAATAAGAAATTCTGGCATCCAATCTAATCCTAATACCATCACAATGTGTTTAAGTACTTCACATCAAATTCCACCAATTCTAGTTAGAAAATAATAAAATCAAATAACTTTTGTTGGTTTGTTTAAACTATCTTGAAAATAACATAAAGAATGGTGTCCCATCAAATTGCTATTAAGTTCTAGTTAGAACTCAACAAATCACTATGAGATTTTATTTTTATCAGTCAATTAATCATGAATGCTTTCCAATCTAATTAAGATTAGATAAATTTTTTGAAACTAATATGATATAATTTCTCTATTAGGTATTGTAGTATTCATACATAGGCATGCACATACATCTCTCTTCAAATCGTTATTTTTAATAGCAACATGACAATAAAAGATATTTAGTTTGTTTTTAACCATTACAAGATCAAGTTTTTTAATTCTGGTGTGAATGTTTCATGCATGCGCTTTTGAGTATGCGTGACTTGTTAATAAGTTTTCAAATCATTTTGAGATTTTGTTTTCATCATCGATCAATGAAGTCCAAATGCTTCCTAATCTAAGATTAGATAATAATTATTTAAACTACTATAATATAATTTCTCTATTAGCAATTATATGGTATGAATTTCAAATGCATGTCTTCACACATTGAACGTGCATACACCTCTCCTTAAACTATTATTTTTAGTAATGAGATGACAATAAAAAATTTTAAGTTTATTTTAACTATAGTAAAATCGATTTCATTAGTATTGGTGTTAATATTTCATACATTGCTTGTGAATATATTTGATTGTCATAAATGATTAATCACTTTTTATTTTTTATATATAGATGATAATTTATGAGTTTATAAAATTATGCACATATTAATTAACTTTATGAACTTATTAATAACTTAACCTCTTAGTTTTTTTCTTTCTTTTAGAATTCTTAACCACTTGGTTGAAAGGATTTGTAAGTGTACAACACAATAAAAAAATAATAATTAAACTAAGTTCAAACATCCAATCTAATACTTGTACCATCTAATCTTTTTATGTACTTCACATCAAATTCCACCAATTCTAGTTAGAAAAATAATAATCAAGAATTTTTGGATGGTTTGTTTAAACTACCTTGAGCATAACATAAAGCATGTGTCCCATCAAATTGCTATTAACTTCTAGTTAGAACTCAACAAATCTATGACTTTTATCTTTATCAATCAATTAATCATGAATGCTTTTCAATCTAAGATTAGATAAAGATTAGTTAAACTAATATGATATACTTTCTCTAGTAGGTATTGTAATATTCATACATAGGCATAAACATACATCTCTCCTAAAAACGTTATTTCTAGAAACAACATGACAATCAAAGATATTTAGTTTGTTTTAACTCGTTATAAGATAGAGTTTTTTTAGTTTTGGTGTGAATGTTTCATGCATGTGCTTGTGAGTATGTGTGCACGACTTGCTAATAAGTTCAAGTTAGAACACATCAATCCAATCATTTTGAGATTTTGTCTTCATCATGAATAAATGAAGTCCGAATGCTTCCCAATATAAGATTAGATAAAATTATTTAAATAGTATAATTTCTCTATTGGCTATTATATGTTATGAATTTCCAATGCATGTATTCACACATTGGCATGTACATACTCCTATGCTTAAACAATCATTTTTAGAAATAAGTTGACAATCAAAGATTTTAAGTTTATTTTAACTATTGTAAGATTGTTTTGTTTAGTATTGTTGTTAATATTTCATACATGTGCTTGTGAGAATACGTGATTGTCATAAATGGTTAATCATGTTTTTAGTTTTGTATATAGATGGTAATTTAAATTATAAAATTATGAACGTCTTAAATGTTAACTTAGATTGTTTAAATATAAATTGCATATTTAATCTTTTTTTAAACATATCTAAGACCAAGATAATATATATTTCCTGCCTTTAACCTCTTTGTTTTCTTTGGTTTAGAATTCCTAGCTCGTTTGTTGAAAGTATTTATAAATCTACAACACAATTAAAAAAAAAATAACTTTTGAAGTAAGAAATTCAAGCATCCAATCTAATACTAGTACCATCACAATGTTTTTAAGTACCTCACATCAAATTCCACCAATTTTAGTTAGAAAATAATAAAATGAAATTTTTTTTGGGGTTTTGCTTAACTATCTTGAGCATAACATAAGGAATGCATCCCGTCAAATTGCTATTAGGTTCTAGTTAGAACTCAACAAATCACTATGAGATTTTATCTTTATCAATCAATAAAGCACAAATGCTTTCCAATCTAAGATAGATAAAAATTATTTAAAGTAATATGATATAATTTATTTATTAGGTATTGTATGCCATGGATTTTTCATTCATGTATTCATACGTAAGTATGGACATACATCCCTTTAAATCGTTATTTTGGTTAACAACATGACAATCAAAGATATTTTATTACTTTAGCTATTATAAAATTGATTTCTTTAGGTTTGGTGTGAATGTTTCACGCACATGCTTGTATGTAAGCACGACGTGCCAATAAATTCTAGTTAGAACTCGGCAATCAAATCACTATGAGATTTTGTCTTCATCATCCATCAATGAAACCCTAAATGCTTTCCAATCTAAGATTAGATAAAGATTAAACTATTATAATATAGTTTATATATTAGCTATTATATGGAACAAATTTTCAATGCATGTATTCATATATTGGCACATATATACACCTCTCCTTAAACCATTATTTTTAGTAACAAAAGGATAATAAAAGATTTTAAGTTTATTTGAACTACCGTAAGATTGATTTCTTTACTATTGTTGTAAATGTTTCATACACAAGCTTGTGAGTGTATGTGATTGCCATATACGGTTAATCACTTTTTGGTTTTTGCATGAGTTTATAAAATTATGATCTCGTTAATTGACTTGGATTGTTTAATTGTAAATTGTTTACTTAATCTTATTTTAAACTTATTTAAAACTAGCATGATATATATTTCATGCCCTCAACCTTCTAGTCTTTTTTTTTCATAATTTTTAATCTCTTGGTTGATAGTATAAATGAATCTAAAACACAATAAAAGAAAAAAATAACTTTTAAACTAAGAAGTTCAAAAATCCAATCTAATACTAGTACAATCAGAATGTTTTTAAGTACTTCACATCAATTCCACCTATTCTAGTAAGAAAATAATAATCAAAGACTTTTTATTGGTTTGTTAAACTATCTTGAACATAACATAAAGAGTGTGTCCCATCCACTTGCTATCAAGATCTAGTTATAACTCAACACTATGACATTTGATCTTAATCAATCAATTAAGCGTGAATGCTTTTCAATCTAAGATTAGATAAAGAGTATTTAAACTAATACGATATAATTTCTCTATTTTTTATTGTATGTCATGGATTTTTCATTCATGTATTCATACATACACATATACATCTCTCATCAAACCGTTATTTTTAATAACAACATGATAATGAAAGAATTTTGGTTTGTTTTAACTATTATAAGATCAATTTCTTTATTTTTGATGACAATGTTTTACACACATATTTTTTAGTATATGCGCATGAATTGCTAATAAATTCTAGTTAGAACTCAACAATCAAATCACCATGAGATTTTGTCTTCATCATCAACCAATGAAGCCTGAATACTTTCCAATATAAGATTAGATAACAATTATTTAAACAGCTATAATATAATTTCTCTAATAGCTATTTTATGATATGAATTTTCCATGCATGTATTCACATATTGGTATGTACATGTACATACACCTCTTCTCAAACCGTTATTTTTAGTAACAAGACGATAATCAAAGATTTTAAGTTTATTTTAATTATCATAAGATCGATTTCTTTAGTAGTGGTGGGAATGTTTCATACACGTGCTTGTAAGTATAAATGCCATTACAAAATTTTTCAACACTTTGTTCTTAGTTCTAGTTAAAAGACGAATATCAAAGACTTTTCATGTTTCTTTTCATAACATTTTCTCATATTTATTAGTTTTGAAATCAATGTTTACCATAGAAATTTTAGTTATACTAAAAGCGAACTAACTATTAAATATGACTTTAGGTTTGGAAATTTTAATTACTATGGGATTTCTCTTTGACTAGTTGTATACCATAAATGTTTCATGCACTTACGACACATACTTGTTCATAACAAATTGTCAATATTAAGATAGTGACAAGTACCAAATTGTTAATCCTAGTTTGAAATGTACAATGAAATTTTCATCTTTGTTATATTTACTATGATAGTTCCTAGTTTATATATACATCAATCAAAGATCTTGCTAGCTTAAATAATAAGAGGATTGGGGTTTCGTAGTTCCAACATTAACAATTCACACACGGTGACATGTATATATATATATATATATATATATATATATATATGTATGCATATTTTCTTCTATCAAACCGGCTTTTTTAGTTAAAAGCAAAGGGTCAAACATTTTCTTATCGTTTTAACTAACTCGAGATTTCCTACATTCTTATTTCAAATTTTTAATAAATACAATTATTCCTTTTCATTAGTTGTGGCAGAAATGTTTCGTGCATTTGCAGTTTTATGAACATCCGTTAATTCTCAAATAATCATTCATCCACAGGCCTCATAGCTAGGATATTTCTTGAGCGAACAAAAAAAAAAAAAAAAAAAAAAAAAAGGCTCTTCTGTTTAATAACATCAGCCTCTTAGTTTATTTAGTATGGTATAATATTAAACTACAAATGAACCTCAAATTTAAATATCATATACTTCTTTGGTTATGAACAAAGGTATACAAATTCTAATGTAATATTCGTGAAAAAAATTGATAAGATTTATGCGAAGATATATGATTGCTTATTCTTTAATTATTATTTCTATTACTATCACTATTATTAGTGCTTATTATTGATATATATTTTTTATAATTGAATTTAATCTTCTACAAAGAAGATAAAGTCATGCTGAACTTGTATGGTAATGTAACTAGTAATTTTGTCACTAATGTTGTTTGTATTTGTAGGAGTTAATTAAATTCGTAAAAGGATCATGTGCTGCGTCATTCTTCATGGATATAAAATTTCCTATTTTTTAAATTAATGTGTCTCTTATTATAATAAAAAAAAGAGAGAAGAAAATTAATTAAGAGGAAATAAAAATCATCAAATTAGTTTATGACATGAGTAAATATATAGATCCTTCGTAAGATATGAAAACCTATAGTGTTAAACATAATGGAATGTGGTTGTAAAAATTATTGACTTTTCCCTAATTTATTTCATTTTGAAATTATTGTTGTTCTTGTGCAGGCACTTCTGCAGAAATGAGTCTATTGGACAGGTATAAATTTCCGCTATGATATGTAGATAATTAAAGTACGTACTTTAATATATAATGATTAAATTAGTTTTACTAGGCTTTATATATATAGGGAATTTAAATGACTTCTTGAAAAGTTCATGGTTTGATTTTTTATATTTCTTTCGATCTGTCCTCTGTGTGTGTTTTATATGTCTTTGCTTAGTGCCAGAATTATTTTATATTTTATCGTGGAATTTACATTTTTAAGATAATTTTTTAAGTGATGCCAATTTTTGTTCTTGTTACAAAGTTTACACAATACTTAGATACCATGCAATAGTAACAAACAAGAATATTGTTTTTTTTTTCCTATTAATTGTTTGCCTATAGGATGCATCTGTCACGGTCGCTGAGCTTGGCTTAGTTCAATATCAGGCTCGTGGACCAGATAGTACTGAAGGTATGCATGCAATCTAGCTAGTCCTCATTACAATTCTAGCAACTTAACATATGTAATACGTTCTCTTCGTTTATTGCAAAAAATCTTCGAGAATAGCACTTGATTTTAAATAAAAAATAATTATTATTCTTATTGCTAGCACCTCTATTTTCAATTTCAATTGTTGAGCTGAGCATTATAAAAAACTCTCTCGTCTAAAAGCTCAAATTTTTGCATATATTAACTCACTAGTAAGCGTTTGCATTGATGTTGTGAATCATTTAGTTCTTTAGGAATATTATTCAATAAAACCCTAGATTCTTTTTTCCTAATTGAGTAAAATCCTTAATTATCTTCACACAGAACCCTTGACGCAGCCCGCTGCTTGGACAAGTGATATGAATACTTTTCTTCAATGGCTATCAGAACTAAAATTTAACGGTAGCAGCCCTGATAGCTCTGGCATTGCAGAAGGTCTAGCTGATGCACTTGTGGTATGTATCTCCTCTTGCTACCTTTTACTGGCAATGCTTCTAATAGAAGGCAACGATAACAATCAGCTATCTGTTCTATTCATCGTCAGATGTTCCTAATGCATCCCAATCAAGACCAAGAGAAAAAATATTTTCAAAGTCAAAGGCATTGCATTCTTGTATCCGCTACTAATCCATTTGGTTTTGTGGATCTGCCATTAACTGGAAATCCAATGGATAAAATATCTATTATAGAAACTGAGGAAGAGGCAACAGATGCTGAATCAATTGCTAAATTATATATTCAGGTAGTGAGAAAAGAGTTTTATCTTCGATGTTGATGTAAATTTCAATTAATATAATTTCTCTAAGCTTTTCATAAAATACGAATAAGAATAAATAATTCTCTGATGCTTACATTTTTTCGTGCAGTTCATGGTTTCTCTGTCAGTAATTTCTCCAATGCAGCTTCCATTGCTTAGAAAGATATACAAAGCGGTAAAATTGTTAGTTTTAATTGTTCTAAAATAATATTCAACGGACTGAATATTTATGATTTTTCACAATTTTTCTAATTAGTACAGAATATCTTTGTTTTGATACATTGTTGCAAACTGATGTTAGAGAGCATATCTCATAAATGATTAAACCAAATCCACTCTCAGCTACCTAATTTTATATGATATTAAAACTATAAAGAAATCTAAATGTTTAGTAAAGATTCTAAAACTTAATCTACTTTATAAATCTCAAAAGATAGATTGTAAGTGAAAAAAAATGTTAAAGAACATATTTCACAAATATTAATATATAAAGCTGAGAAGAAATCATCCATCATAAAGTTTATCTTTCATTTAAATGGTTTAGAAATGGTTATTTAAATATTTTGATATTTCCTATTTCTTTAATTTTTCTAACAAGTTTATTAACAGTTTTAGACATCAACAGCCACTTATCTATCGTATCACTACCAATAATGCAAAACCAAGCAAGATTCTTTTTATTGAATATACTAAAATTCTTGATTTTAAAACAAATGCCTTTTGTTTACTATGCTGATTATGTAGAACATAACTAAAATTTTCATATAGATATCCATTCGTTTTCCCATTTCGACATCCATATCTTTCTTACTGCTAAATAGAGTTTTATATTGACTTATTGTTTTTTTTTTTTTTTTTTTTTTGAAGGCAAATCTTAATTCCAATGCCATGGATCCTTTCTTTAATAGTGTCAAGAATTCAGACTTTCTTGTTCTATTATCAGAGAAGTTCTTTGAAGCCCATGTTGCACTTTGTGAGAAGGAAACGACAGGTCGAGGCCTGGACCTTTCAGGTTTATTGTGCGTTGCATCAAATTTCATTTGTTTCTATCTTTGTTTTGTCCTCTTAAGTAAAGTTTTCACATGTTTAAAGCCAGTTCCATCTTTACTTTCTCTAGCAAATCTCTTAAAAAAAAAAAGTTTATTTTGAGTAATAAAGCTTGATGTCAATACCAATAGATATCTTTTTCTCTATTATCAAATCAACATTTCGATCTTTAGCTGGTCATGTTCGCTTCATTTCATTCATTATTGAGCACTTATTTCTTCTATTACAGAAGAGGATGTTCTGTTGCTTGAACAAGTGCTGAATCAATCTTCGACAAGCCAGAAGAGTACTGCAAAAGAAAGCATCTCTGACGGGATGATAGAAGGGGTGATACTCAAAAAACATAGTATTTTCTCTTCATTATTTCCTTAATGAAATTTTATGTAGTTTAATATTTATGATTCTTAGCATTCTAAAATCTACTTAAACCTCAAGTGAATGTTTCTGGTTAGGAAGTGAAGATTGCGTCATTCACTAATTTGCAGCCCGATACCGCACAACTTCCTTGTGTATCATCGTGTGTTCCTCCATATGTTCAGCCACACTTTTCTAGAATCATCCCAAACTTGAAAACTTATGATGCAGATGACTTTGCTTCTCAAGAAATGATTTTCGGAAACTCAAATGCACCAAGGGCAATTGTTTTGTCACAAAAAGCACGTCCTTTGATTCCTGGAACAGTAAATCCAAGCATCATTCTTAGCCATAAAGCTCAAACATTCCAAGAGGCGACTTCTGTGGCTAGTATTGAAGAAAGTTCACGAGACTACCCAACAATAAATAGCAGGTATCAAAGAAATTATGAGGCAATGCGGCCTCCTGTTCTTGATTTAAAACCAGACAGTGGGACTCCAAATTATAAACAAGATGAAATCAGTGACCTACTGTTCTTCACGGCAAATTCACATATCGCTAGAAGCTTGATGGGTATGCAACCTGTTGGACTCAAGACAACTGGGAAAAGAAAACAGGAAACTCTTCAGAGCTTGGTGCTACCAACAATTTCATCTAAGGCCTCTGTAGTCCCATCTATGAGGGTGCAAAGCATCCCTGAGAACTCATTTCCTTCTGCAGCATATAACCTATACGGGAGCTTCAAGACTCCACAAGAAGCTGATTACCAAACAATGCATACTATGAGAAAAAGCCCTCAAGCTACCATGTCATCAGCAAAGGATGGATCTGTAGTATTCTCAGGATCTCCACACCAGACACAGAACGTAAATACTGGTTTTACAGCTACAGGATGTAATGTATCTGGAAACTTAAATGCACCGCAAAACTTTGCAACATTTCAAAGCGCAACAGGCCACGATGATGTACAACCTCGAGAGGGGAAAGAAGATGTTCCAAAAGCACATATGCAACAAGAGGAATTCGATTACAAATGGGATCCAATGACTAGTTGTCCTCAATCAAGTCCTTCATCTGAAGTGCTCCTATCGAACCCTTCGACGAAAATGCCTCTACAGAGAAATGAGGAAATGGAACCTACCATTGAGATTGATGCACTGGATAAAAATCTGGATGGACATGAAAAATATATTAAAGCATGGGAGGTTAGTCTAATTAATTGATTTAGATAACACAACTGCTATCATCTTCAATATCTTTACACCACAACGCAGGCAAACTTTTTGGTTAATTTCCTCTTCCGTATTTGGCTATTTTAAATTAGGGTATCGACTATGCAAGTTAATGGAAACTTTTACATGAATTTTCTTCTTTTGGCATTATCATTTTACAAATTTTTACATATTATTTGCTGTCTTAGTTTTTTTGTGCATTCAGGGAGCTATATCTGCATTGATGGGTGGGCGCCTCATGATAGTCACGAGAGCAGTGGTATGGTTAATTTCTTGTCCAATGAAGGCATGCAACTTACATTTCTGTTAATAGATTATATTGTCTATTATATGAAATTATACTCCAAATAAGGAGAATATCTCATCGCAACACAGGTTTATTGTTCTTTTATGTGGTTATCTTGTGTATGTATAGATGAAACGATTTTATCTTGGGTTTCCTATAATATGCTATCGTAGGAAAACCAAAAAAATAAAAATAAAAAATAGTGAATTTTTTTTTTTTCATTTTATTTGTTTTTCCTATGGAATAAAAACCCTATACATTGGGTTGATTCATTATTGCTCTTACGTAAAACTTTATTACTTGTAACAGGCCTACAGAGCAACATCAACATCAAATCAGTAAGTCCATGAGGTCTTTATTCTGAATTTTCTGTCTTGTAAGTTCTAGGTATTGGCTGATTTTCCGTTTTCTCTTCGGCCTATATATGCTACGCATTTACTAATCACATAATCACATAATGTAAAGTGATGGTGTAATGAGAAATTTCTAAGAAATATATAAAAAGCATCACATAATTCTGAGTAATATTAACAAAAAAAGGAGAAATGAGGGTCCTTTATGCTTCAAAACTTTCCACATTCTATTCCGTTGTTATTATTATTTTTTTCATACTAGTATGCTGTTCGTTTTTAATTTATATTGTTGAGATGGAATTTCATTTAAAAAATTTAATACTCGTTATTTTATTTCAATATGGTACAAGGCTAGTTGTATGTGCAAGATACTAGATAACAAGGAGCAAGCATGATCTTGAGTCTTTGATTCATCATATGCTCATCTCTGAGTTTTGCAGGATTACTTCTGACTGGCCAAATACATTACAGTTGGGTCGTCTCTTGTGTCAGGACTTTTTCGAGAAGTTGTAAGAATGCCAACCTCAACTATTGGTGTTGTTTGTTTGCTAAGCCTCGCATCAATTCTTCATTTTCCATATGTAAATAACTTTTGCTCTCCCCTTTGCTTCTTTTTTTTTTTTTTTTTGTTCATCAGTCCAAAGCTAGATCCAAAGTACATCATGATATTTGAAGTTGCCAACAATCACTCGATTCTTGAACATCTGAGGACAAGAAAGCTTGTAAGTACCTGAGAATATGTGTTTTTGTTGTATTCTATCCATAATTTTCATTTATAGGGTCATGAATTTGACACTATCTTTTGGGATGCCTAGTTAATGACCAAAAATTTAAAATACTTCATGAGTAATTATGATACACTTATAATAGTTATTTTATTAACTCACTTTTTAAAAATGATATAATAATAATGATGATAATAATAATAATAATAATGACATCTGAATCTATCAAAATTCATAAGAATATTTTTTCATTGATTGAATTTTTTTAAAAAAATTTTATCTTTTATTTTTCTTTGTCCTTTTTATGTTTTTTTTTTTTATAGAATAAGTATTGATAATTATTTTATAAGTATATTAGCCTCATTTGAAAAGCTCGATAATTTTGATATATTTCAGTGTAATTCGAATTTTTGCATCGGTATAGCCATAAGCATCCCACTTAATATCTAGATCACTACTGCATGTTTATCAAATCTCTTTCTTACACATTGTACTAATATGGAACTTGAAAATATCAGTGCTCCAACGTCAAGCTACCTTCTCAGACAATGATTTTTTCTCCTACTAAGAAGGACCGCTTTTTCATTGCTACAGTTTTCCCTGGAGTAAGACTTTCTTGTTTATCAAACTGTAGTATTGTGTCCTCATAAAATATATGTTTTAGCTTGTACTAATAACGTTTATCTTTGGTACCAGGATTATCCCATTTATAGGTCCAAAATACCTAATCTACAACCAGGTCACGGGCCACAGCAAAAGCAAAAAGGCCAGAAAAAGAAAAAGAAGTAGCTGGGATATCTTATTAAGTAATAAAACTCAGGTGGAAAGACTTGCATAACATCCTCATGTCCCAGAAATTTCAAGGATAACTTCCAGATGGGCGTGTACGCCTTTTTCTTTTCTGTTCAATTCTAAGACAATATTTGTGTTATGGAGACATAATTTGTCTTTTTATGGAGTCTTTATGCAATATGTATGGTTATGGAGGCACTCTCTTAAAATAAAAGTTTTTATTGACACGGTATGAGTTACAGGCAAGCTGTCCGTTTCAGTCTGTCAAGCGTTATTAATGTTCATGCTTCCTACCTCCTTTAAGTTGTTATGTTGTTAATGAGTTCAAAAAGCTCGTTCAAAACACAATAATGACATGTCAATCTAAAGCCGAGGATGTATGGTAGAGATTGATGGTGTTTCTTACTCTCTTCTACGTTGAATATTTGCAAAACAAAATTTTTTGATGGATTGAGGGACCCTTCAACAATCTAGATAGTGATTGAAGAGGAGGAAAGTTGCCTGATCAAGCTATAGAAATGTGTTTTCGTATATGCTTTACAAAGAAGATGAACAGTGATGAAGCTTTCTTAATGCAAAGAGAATCATGTAGAGTTAAGAATCTGAAACCCTTAGCGGTTATGATCTTTATATAGGTAAGACCTTTGCAAGTTGCTTGATGAAGAGCGTAGGATGGTCTATTGTCTTGATGTAGACATTCTTTGATACAAAGTGGGGTGATTTGTTTCATTTGACATGACTCTGAGAAATCTAACAGTGGAAAAGATAATATAAAAGTTGCTAATATAATAATAAGGGTGGATGGAATGTGCTTTCATTTAATGAGGGCTCATCAATTCTTCCTAGTGCTTGTGCTCGCCTGTCCCCTAGGGTATAAGTAATGGAACGACTTCCCATGGTATGTCCATGATGCTATCGGGCATGGAGAGCCCCCATCCTTGGTGCTTTCTGAAGTATCCTCTTGGTTAGGCCTTGCTTTATGCCAGGTTGCCCTCGTTTGGTCTAACTACTCTCTCTCGATGTGTATCAATTTCCCGCCACAACTCTTTGGCATTTATAAAGATAATGACTTTCTTAACTCAAACGGTTTTAGGTCTCGTTGTCTGTATCTGATTCTGATTGGTTTGGCAAAAAGGTCAAGAATGGTTTTGTTATTGAGAAACATGCCATCCTAGGGCACTATTAGAAAAGAGGGAATTCGTGATTGTATAAACCATAGCGAATTCCAAAAAACTCACTAAATGTATTTAATGAGGAATTTACAACAATTTTAAACCATCCACAAAATCCTTGTCGCTAAATAATTAGCAATGAATTGTAGTTTATCATCAACCATCGCAAAAATAACTAAAATCGTCATTAAAATTCGAAAATTATACGATCCTTTTTTGTTGATTTCGTCAACAAATAACGATGGGTTTTTAAAGTAGCCTCAAAATCCATCACTAAATTTGGATAATTTAACATCCATTTTTTTTAAACCGTCACAAAATTTTCATAAGTAGCAACTATTTGTGGAGTCCGTCGCTAAATCCGTCTCTAATTAGCAATAGATTTAGCAAGTATTTTACAAAAATCGTTGCTAAATTTTAATTTGGTGATAGTTTTAAATCCTCCCCAAAACAAAAATTTTGGTTTTTTTTCAATTATGTATTTAATCGTTAAGAAGAACAATTTAATCTATTTCAATTTAACAACTAAAAAAATGCTATAAAATAGATTTGTAAATATTATAAAATCATTATAATATATAAAATTTAAGAAAATGAAATATATATTCAAACATCAAATTATTTTAAAGTTTGTTAATTTTTTTTTTAAAAGAAAACATAAAAGTTAGGAGCGATTGGTAGGGTCATCAATCGGAGGATCGGTGGGATCATCGGATGGAGGATCAATAGATGAACTCGCTTCTTTACATATTTAGCAATATCTGTCGCATCTTTGCATGGTGCTCTCGAGTATACTATTTCAACTTAGTTGTAGTAGCTAAGAGCGATGTAACAACACCTCTAGTTTCTTGATCTTTTCTCGCTTTTTTAGACTAATGAGTCTCCATTTCTTTTTGGTGGGCCTCACAATCAACATGGAACCATGATGTGACCGAACTAGAGGATGTATCGATATTAGAGTAATAGTGAGACACTTGTGACTCGAGTCTATACATTCTCTTCCTTTAATTATTTCAACTCACTTGTAGTAGCTAAGAACGATGTAACAACACCCTTTAGTTTCTTGATCTTTTCTCGCTTTTCTAGATTGATAAGCCTCCATTTCCTTTTGTTGGGCTTCACTATCGACATGGAGCCACGATGTGATCGAACTAGAGGATGTATCGATATTAGAGTAATAGTGAGAAGCTTGTGACTCAAGTCCATACATCATCTTCCTTTTACTATCTCCTCATTTAATAACTTTCTTAAAAATCTAATTCATATCGATGTTGGTTAATGAAGTACCCTCTATCCGTTGGCTAGCACCCTCATCACGCAAATATTTTTTTGATGGCTTCTTACATAATTGCATAAAATTTAATATTGCATAGCTATTTCAATAAGTTAAATATATAAATATATAAGTGACATACGTATGAAATAACTTTATAAATTAATAACTAATCATCATCCTTCTTTACGTGAGCCTTCGTAAAACCTCATGAGCATTAGGTTCATGACCCAACTCATTACGCTGAAACAAATATACTTAAATGATTCATGATATATATATATATATAAAAGATTTACCATGCATATTAAGTGCTCCTTATGGGTAATTGAACCCCTCGTATGTCTAGATGAACCACCTCCAATGCCACTAGTCTCGCTCTTTGGTTTTCGAGCCGCTTGCTCAAATCGAGCACGCGTCTAAAGTTTTTCCCATTTCGATGCCATGTATCTCATTTCTCCTATGAGATTTATATTGGTTTGGGATATCTCTTCACATTATAAAGGAATTCAAAATATCACTTTCATACGAGACTCTACTATGTTTTCTTTATGTTGAGCTCGATATTACGCTCCCACATAAAGAACTTTTGCAAGAACATTATAAATATTCATTAGTATATTTAATTATACATTAAAATTTATTAATTGAAATATACAATAAATTAATAAATTAATTAAACTAACAACTACCTTAAACTCATTCTAATATAACTTTTTAGTTTCCTCACTAAGTGTCATCCACTTCCATCTAGATATGTGAACATTTAATTGAACATTAATATTTATTAATTAAAATATATAATCATGCAATAAATTAATTAAACTAACAATTACCTTAAACCTATTCCAATAAAACTCTTTAGTTTCCTCACTAATTGTTTTCCACTTCCATCCGGATATATGAACATACTCGTGGAATGTCTTATAAATACGACAAAATATCAAATGGATACACGCTATCAAACTAAACATGAATTAATAGTTAAATAAATGCATTAATATAATAATAACAAAAAAAATATTTTATAAAAAATGCATAATACGTACTCCTTACCATCAATGATAGTAATTGAAATTTGAGGATCGAATGTAGATCCGAAAGGTTCGAAGCTAAACTAGAACTCTTTTGATCATTATTGACTTGTTGAGATAACTCAAGTCACTTCCTTCGAGGGATTCAAATCATAGGCCATGCGATATCCCCGAACGTTTAGGTTCAACTTGAAATGAACTAATAGGTTTGTTGATATAACTTAAGGTCCAACGAATTCATTAGCAAAGATTAGTATTGACATAAGATGTGAGATAATAAAAAGTTATCATATCAATGATATTAGGAATTGCATTTGATGCAATTGGTAAGGAGTTGCATATCTAATCCTTCCATGTATGACTTATTGAGATAACTCAAGGTCAATGCATATTTGTGGATGGGATCATAATCCATTAAGGAAAATGAATCAAAAAGTTTTCTCGAGTCTTATATTGAAGGCTATAGAACTTGAAGAAAATAATGAGAGCAAACATAAATTTTACTTCTTAATTTATGCTTCTTTTTTTTATAAATGCAAATCAATTAACCGGATCATATGCTTTTCTATCCCGTCAAGTTGTTATAGAGTATGACTAGCAATATATCGATACGATCGATAATTGAAGAAAGTAATGCCTTCAATGACATAAACTTTTTTAGTTGAAAAATGAATATGAGAATAATCCTCTAACATGAGTAAATTTTCTATATAATAGAGGCACCTTTCTTAGTTGAGCCTCCTCACGATCAAGCTGAAACTTATGTAGTATGACTCAAATATAGAGATGATGCTCTAACTAATGATCGCATCATATTGA